GAGGTTCATGGTCAAGCCGTGTTACATACTTTTACTTTGGCTTCTTAGGTGTTCATACCTAGGTGGGCGTGTGGCATGTGGCATTCAGTTCAGTACGCAATATCTCGAATGTGTTTTTTTTGGTGTTGGTCCCTTTGTGTGTGCTTCTTTAAATGCCTGCTTCCTTCATTGCAGCCGAGGGGAGGGTGTTCGACCCCCACGGAATGTCCATTGTCAGCAGACTGAAAGCACCTGTTCCTTACACTTTCCCGGCGGGAATCGAAAACATTACTCCATGTGTTTTTTCGCTCAGACAACGAGGTGCAACCACTGAAAAAATAGAGCACTGCCCATACCTAGATCCGCCCTTTGGCTGGTTCTACAGGCAAAAAAGGCAGACACGTTGCTTGAACTTCCAGGTAGGTCAAATGAAGGTATCCTGGTTGTGACCCACAATCATATACCTCACATACCTCATCTTTTGTTTCCAGGACTAAGAGGGGCAGACTTGATCCAAGGAGGCCATCAGTGGTTCATCGAACCTGGCCGGCACCGTGGCTTTGGTGCTCCGTGGCTCCTGTGCCTTTTCCACGAAGACCGAACACCTGGCGGCGGTCGGCGTCAAGGCCGACGCGGCCAGGGGAGGAAACCAAACCGCGCCCGGAAACCAGGGTGTTTGTTTGGGGGGGTTTTGTTTGTGACTATAGAAAAATGGGATGGTACTTTACAAATCTGGCATCATGTACAAATCAGGTGAACACATGTAAATTTACCATTGATTCCACACATGGGTGGTTTCAGAAACACCAAGATCTCTTACTCTTGGGCAACTTACTAGTTTTCAAGGTGAAACGGTCCAAAACAAAAACACTGTTTGTTGATGGGAAAAAAATTCGACCTTGACCAAATCCAGGTTTCTGTACCTCCCTTTGGTACTACTAAAGCCCTACAGGTTAAACCTTTGGCAGAAGATCTAAGGACAGGCAAGGTTTTATGGTGTTGACCATCGCTGATCTGATCAATTTTTTTTGGGAGGACGATGGAGGATGAGGGGATCAAGGGATCAAGGGTGGGCCTTCCACCCTTCTTGGACGAATGTTCTAGGCTTCGCCCATGACTGACTTGAACATGGGCTCTGGAATTTTTGGTGAATAGATCAAAACCAATGGGTTGGTTGGGGGTTCTCCCTACTGTATTAGAACCCGTATGATTCGATGATTCGGTGATCTATTCGTGCTGCGCGAGGCGGTGATTGTTTACAACAACTTGTTACTTGGCGAGTCAGTTGGTCTTCTCCTCTTGGGGAGGAACCGCAGATGGCGCAGATGATCCTTCGTTTTGGGTCATTTTAACGTGTGAGGGGCCGTTCGTCCTCTTTGTTGCGTTGCATGCAAGGCACGAACACACCTCGGGGGGGAGGTGGTGCCCGGACCTGCCCTCAAAGATGCTTTAACTCACCCCTTTCTCAGCTATGTAAGGCTATGTAACTGTATTTGTGGTTTAAAGCTATCTGCCGCAGATCTGACCTTTCTTTTCTTAGCTTGCTCTCTTCCCCAACCAAGTGGCCAACTCTGGTTAGGTCGTTTCCTACCGCCCATTCGCTTTGGAACTGCACCGGAGCAAAGGATCAAACGGTGGAAAAACCGAAGGACGCAGCCAAAGCAGGCCACAACCAGGGAAAGGTAGGTTTGTTTTGTTTTGGCCACTTCTCACTGGATGGGCTTGGGCTAGCGGACATTGTTTTTACATCAAGTGCAAACCCTCATCCAGAGTCACATGACCCAAGCTGAAGTCATGAAGTCCTTTTGTGTGTGATTTGCGAATCGGATTGCAACTTTTGCTCGAATACATAAATACTTCTCCACATACTTGTGCAGTTCCAATGTGAGGATAACTGTTTCACAAAAAGAATACCTTGATGGTACGCATATACTTCTGTTGCCTGGAAGATGCTATATAATATAGTCATAGAAACGCCCGCAACATGTTTAATATTTGTATGGTACAGCGGTCTTCAAAATTCAATGTTTTCCAACGATGAAGACACGCCAAATCAACCAGTAATTACAGTGAATCGCGAGAGGTCAGAGCTACCTGAGGTACCAGCGGCCTCACTTCTACCCCGCCGCAGCCAATGGATCGATGCCCAGCAGCTTATCATGCTTCTGGAAAGATGGATGGCTGAGTGTCACAACATGTCATAATTTTAGTAGTAGTAGTAGTAGTAGTAGTAGTAGTAGATGCAGATGCAGATGCAGATGCAGATGTAGATGTTTGAGGGATCCTGTTTTTGGCCAGACTCACGACATCAGGCAGCCTTTCTTTGACTGGTTTTGGAAGGCTGTGTGTCCGGGGACATCCAATTTCGATCTCCCCACGGCTGTTCCCACGGCGGAACTCCACCCGCGTGAAGTTGGAAGTGTCACTCATGTTCCTTCTTGTAAAGAGAAAAGCACAAAGAACAACGGGATCAGCTTGGACCCACTTGTAACTCTGAAGCTGAGCCGTGGAGGAGGTCGGGGATTTTCAAGTTGGACCACTTTTGGGAGCGCTCAGCAAATAATGTACTTTCGAGGTGCGGAAGGGTGTACCTTCCCGAAACAACCATTTCCAGGCACTGGGAGTCGGCAGGTTTGTTTAGCTGAGTGGAGGCCCCTTCAGATGGCCCCTTCAGATGGCCCCTCATGCTCAAACTTTTGATTCTAGTGTTTTTTCAGGCACAATCTAGTAGAGGTTTGTCCATGCGTCTCTTGGATGAATACGGAACACGTCGAAGCATGTCGAAGCATGGTTTCTTCAATTGCTCCGCACTTTGTGCTTCATCACCCTGGATTCTGTATGTCATGTCAATGTGAATATTGAGATTTGGAGTGTCCTCGTTGATGTTTGTCCCTCTGACACGGCGGGGGCAACATGGAGAGCTCTTCGGGGTCACATCGATCGCGATCGGATTTGTCTTCGCCCTGGATGTGTAAGACTCAAGATGGGGTAAATTGCATGTGAAGTTGTGAAGTGGTGCCCAGAACACCAGAACATCCACTCACTAGATGGGACTAAACACCACCCCGACATGTGACTCCTTGTACCCTCCGACGCTTTGCACTTCCATGTTAGTGAGTCGGAGGGTATTCTTGTTTGTTGGTGTTTTTATTTTCACGGGTGTGGTACTGTATGGTGTGGTTGGTTAAAAGGAGCGAAAACACCAGCAACGACACTGCCTCGTTGTTCTTGGTCTTGGACCCGGTTGAAGCAAGTGAACGTTCATCTAGGGTCCACCCACACTCAGGATCACCCTGTTTGGACACAAATCCTTGCGAATGCCAAGTACTGGTAATTTGCATGCAAATTCTGAGACCACATGTTAACTAGGACATCCGGACAAAGGCCTTTCTTTGGGGAAGACTTACTTTGCCGACCAAATTGACGTGGGCCGAAAAAACTAGAGTGATCCCAGAAGGTTTCTGTTTGGACAGCAGCCCAAGGAAGGTCAAACTGGGTACAATGAGTTTTGTTTTACCTTGGAATTGCCCCATTACCCGTAACACTCGGTAAACAGTTTTCACTATTTTAGAGAGAGGCCTTTCTGAACCATCATCACCCACCGTTACAGGGAATCAAAAGAAATATGTATTATTATATACTCACAAGTTTTACCAAAAGAACCAACCGGACACTTCAGCCATTGCAGCCTTTGCAAGCCAGTGAGGCATTCCCATTTTCATGGTCACTCGCGAAGATGGCGAGCGCATCATCGCTGAAGCTGCTGAGACAGCAGAGACGTTGTTCGTACAGATCCCGAGCAGCCGTGACTGGGCAGAAACTACTCCGATGACATCAGACCGGGCTTTTGATGTACTCGAGAAGTCCGGATGAGACGGCGAGTGTTCCCTAGGTTCATGCTAATGTATGCGAATGTAGAATCTTGATTCATAACCGCCCATATGAAGGGGTTTGAAAGCTTTACAATTCAAATGGGGGTGGCTTATTGATCAAGAGTCTAGACTATCGCAACTGTTCCCTATGTTCATGCTATGGTCCTCTTCTTTTGTCATTTGTGTTGAATACATCACAGTTGGGAATAATGATTACCTGAGATAAACAGACTCCAACACATAAAGGCTGCATCCTGTTTGCTTTGTTTTGCCTGCGTTTGCAACGGACATCGACAGACCATCAATATGAGGTTGACTCCAAGATGAGTTTATAAAATATAGCAAAATAAAGTCGGGCTCACTTTCTTAAGATTCTTAGTAGCAGATCAGTGATTCAGGATTCTCAAACGATTTATATAAACACTACCTTCCATGCAGCAATCATGGAATTGGACAATGGCCCCTGGAAAGAACATTCTCGTCAAACAATTGTCCACTTCCATGTTTGTTTCGGGATGTTTCGTCCTGAAGTACATTGGCACAGTGAAAACTCTGGATCATGTCGCTTCGTTGTACACTGATAATTTTTCAGGGTCAATTCACCGGAGGAGTTTTAGAGTGTGCTTTTGCCATAAATTCAATGCTGGTAATGTAGACTCTTGCTTAATAAGCCACCCCCCATTTGGCCCCCCATTAAACCCCTTCTTAATGGGGGGTCTATTAATCAAGAGTCTACATTAGTTGGGAACCATGCTGCACAGAGATTGCTCTGGCACGCCACGTTTTCCTTCCATCCTCTTGCCCAGAAAGGACTCTCCGCCTCAGGATGTTCCTTAGATCAGCGCGAGGTGGCGCCAGCCAGCAATAGCAGTCGAGCCGCCGCGCCCAGCTCAACGCCGGCGCCGGGCGGATCCAGTGGCAAGGCGTCCTCTTGGGAGGCCACGGAGAAGAGCTGCGCAGAATGGAAGATGGATCCAACTGGTGCCTTCGTGCACTCGGGCGAGAACCAAGGCACAGCCGGAGGGTGGCGCAGCCAGGTTTCACAAGGGTGCGGGAACCCAAACACGGTGCACAAAGGGAAGGATGAGTGGTCAAGTGATGGTTCCACTGATGTGCGGGAATGAGACATCAATGTGTGTGTGTGAGAGATTTTCTTATTCGATATGCCCAGAAGATTGGTCACTTAGCTTTTTGATATTTTTGTTGTTGCTTGTTGGCCAATCAACTTGCAGATTATTAATATACTAGTTAGTTTTATCGGACCTCACCTCGCGTGGTGCCGAAGCTTGCGTGTCAACATACGTCAACTAATTTGAAAACAATACATTGTGTGTATACATATAGTGTTATATACATTTATATACATATTCAATGTTTATGTGAGATGCTTACTGCAACTCAAAAGAACATGTGTTCATTGTAGAAACTTCATAATTTGTTGCAGTTTTTGCATTGAATGGTCAATGAGTCAATGGCTGCAGTGATAGAGTTATACTTTGTAAGTAGAAAACCAATAGTTTTGCTCATCCAAGATGCCGCGGCCAAGAGGATCGCGCTTAGAGGATCGGGCCCAAAGATCGAAACACCTCGACCAACCGGCAACCCGCTTGCGGCTCCTCCTGACACCCGCTCCGCCTGCCTCCACTTCACCATGAAGGCGTAGAACTGTGGCCTCCCACATCGAACATCTCGTGGATTGAGAGTTTCGATGCCACGGACCTGGGCCCCCAAGTGACTGGTGGTTTTAGATGGAGCCCCATCTGTCCAAGACATCTTGGGGGGGAGTTGTACCATCGAACCTCTGAAACCACAGTTCTTAGGGTTCGGGAAGGTTGCAAAAAAAGAACTGACACGTGCCCGAGGCTTCATTGGTGGGGATATATACGCATGTTTAACAATTGCTTTCAGAGTTGAGTTGGCACTCAACTCCAAGAGGTGCTTCCATGCCTTTTCTTCCATGAACGCCGTTCTCAGGCCCACTCAGGCGCGACCCGAGGTCTCTGAAAGGTCTCTGAGAGGTCTCTGGGGTGAGCATCAGGTGACCCTCCACCTGCTCTGGAGGCTTTCACTGGTTGTACTCCTTCCTCACGCTGTCCGTGCGCTTCGTGCGCGATGGCTATGTGCGCTTCCGCTATGCGGTGGATGCCGAGGATGGCTATGATGGCTTACTCTTCGAGATGGATGGGGAGGTGTGGTGAGAAGGGGGTTTCCACTCGGAGACAATATTGGGATAGAACACAGAGTCACTCACGTGAGCTTGGGCCTTTGGCATGGCTTTGCCCACGAAGCAACACCAGTTTTTGGCGAAGGGACCGGTTTTTCCCATGCCATGTCAGTGCTCCAAGCCCGTTTTTTTTTTTAATGGTTTTGAAGCAACTGCTGATAGTCGCTTGGGATGGTGGTTGAACACTTTCGAACACTAGCCAAAGTCAGAGAATCCCGCAGTACTTACGTAGTGATCAGCGATACGTAGTGCTGCGCTAAAGCACTCAATCGGTGTGTCCCTTTGCTTCTGAGGGGTTGCAGCGGTCCAGAATTTCAATGCCAATGGCTGATGGCTGGGGTAAAAATACATAATGACGTAAGAGCACAGTGAAAACAGTGGTGAGTAGGTTCTTTGACATAAAAATCAGGAACCAATCATCAAGCTCACCGCCCACATTGTGAGAAACAGCATGAGTACTGTGACAATGCTGATTGAGAAGTGTAGAAACAAACGACAGAGTACGACACACTTCGTGCAGCTACGTGACGGTCCGTGCTTATTTTTCCCTCAGTACTCAGTACATCATGCTATCGAAAAAAGGACCCCTGCCCAGTCCCAGTGACGTCACATTGCCAGTGGTACCAGTGTCATATTTCACGCCAGCTACCACGGATTTATTAACTGCCAAGCGATACTCAGAAACCTAATGAACCAACAAACAAGATCAGAAGAAACATGTGACAATCTCAATTCAGAAGGGAGGTGAAAATATGACAAGGATATGATGATAAACTGACTAAGCATGGTTTGGGGGTCAATGTAGGCATATATGCCATGTATACATGGAGTGTATGGGATAGGTACAGTTCTTTCAACTGGTCAGAGATTGTGAAAGAACTGCCTGGTCCCGTTCGTGGTTCACTGATATTCTGACGAATCCTTGATATGGCAGTTTGGCACTTTGGTTGTTTGATTTTCCCAGTGCTTAGTACCTTTTGTAGGCATTCTATAATGAATGTGTTGCCCAAAGGGAGACTTCAGGGAAGGCACATCAGTGGAAACGTAGTAGTACCCAACACTTTCCATCTCCTTTGCATGACCTATATCAACTGACCAGAACCAGTGAGAATCCGTATAATCAGCACGCTAGTACCCTCTCTTGACAATGACCAACACATACCAAAACCATGTTCCCCTCAAAAACAGACCAGACTAGACCCTTCCCCCAAAGAGACCTTCAAAAGAAACACAGACACACACACAAAACGTCCGACCCCGACAACTTCACAGCCCGATGAGGTCGCCTGGAACAGCACGATGAGTCAGGTGGCTCCCTGGAGAGAGTTCCGCTGGGAAGTGCCGAAAGGTGCCCATAGCTTCACTTGGACCTACAAGAAGGCGCCACGGTACGTCGCTACGTCGTACCGGCTACGCGTGGTACGTCGTCTCCGGTTGAAAGAAAGCGGGGTGACATACCCAAGGCGCGGTGAAAAGGATCATCGTTGTTGTGCCATGGCATACTGGCATGGCACAGTGGCACAGATACACCGTTGCTAGTACCGGCTCTTTCGGCTTACTGAAGGGGCTCTCTATTTAGGAGTGTTTTTCTGCGTGGCATCAACTCTTCAAGGTTTCAGAATTTCCTGAACTTTGGTACACTTGCAGTTCACCCAGCTTTTCTCTACTCAAACCAAATCAATCCAAAGCGAAAACGCTTCCTCCCCTCCCTAACCTCACTGACCCGACGTCCTGTCCGTTCGCATGTGCGTCCATCCATCCGTGTGCGCACCCGGGTCCTTAGCTTTGCATTCCAACATCTTCCAAGCATACCTCCAGTTTGGTAGACTCTTTAACCCGAATCGTCCCTTTGGTAGACTCTTTGGGATGACCATTTACATTGACCAAGATGTTAAACCCCCAGTTTGGTGTAATCCTTAGCCAATCAGATCTGTCAGGTCTCCGCCGTCTCCGTCTCCGTCTCAGTCCAGCCCTGGAGACAGGACTTCAGTGGTTCCTCCGGCGAGGATCGCGCGAAGCTGCAGTTGTTGGAGGTCAGTGGCACGGGCCACGCGGACTCCGAGTGCCGGAGCTGTACACTGTTGAGCCCTCTGGCCGCATCGATGCGGCTGGACGGGCTGGTTTTGATGGGGAGGAGTGGATGGTGAGGCAGGTGAGCTCGGCAGGTGTGGGGGAAGAATCCATTCTTGGTGAAGTTTTGGTCACTCATCAGGGGAATGCGTCCAGAACGATGGGCACCAACGCATGCGTATGCAATCAACCTTTTAAGACTGCGTCCTTCTAAGCAGGACATTTCGCACCAACTAAGGCGAGAGTCCTTGTGTTCGCCACACCGGCACTTCTCCATCACCAGTCCGCTTCGGTCCGAACCCGCTTCGGTCGGGACCGTTTCGGGCACCGTTCCGGGGACGAGCTCCTGGCCGTCTCGAGGGAGGCTTCCATCTGGTCTGTTCAGTTGCATGACTGATCTCATCCCGGTGGTTCCCTTTTTTTGGTGGGGGTCTTCTTCTGTCTATGACAGTTTCAGGGATGAGGTGAGACATGGCACTGGCACCCCAAGATGTCTTAGGCAGATGGGGGTCTATGTCCACCACCCAACTGGGGGGCCCAGGTCCCTACCATCGAAGCTCTGAAACCGTTGGGAACTAGATAGCTTGGTGACGAGCGCTCCAAGGCAGCCCAGGAAGCCAAAGATGCTTGAGCTGTGGCCGAAACGAGTCTCTCAGAGTGAAAACTATTGCTTTTCAGACACTGCTGCAGTGTCTGAGGAAACTGAAGGAATATATGATCATTAGTCAGTGCTAGCAATATCATCCGAAGAAGACCACTATTCATGTACCAGTATAGATGAGGTGGGGATGTCTTTTCATTTAAGGACCGGGATAGATATGATGTATAATAAGATATAATAAGATGTAAGTATTTGTGGAGGTGTTGGGCCTCCATGAGCTGCATCTATACAGACGTCTTAGAAGCGTTTCAAGCCTGGTCTGTTTTCACTACTGAGATGTCCCTCTCAAGTCCTGTGGGAACCTCTTCAACCTCTCCCAAGTGCCTGCTGCGACTCCTCTCCTCGTCCGACTCCGAAATGACGATGTTCAAAGAAACAAAGACCAAGTGGGCCATGTGTCACTGCCAGAAAACGAACATGCAAATTGCATTCTACTGCAGTGGGCCATCTGGATGGGGCATTGAGAGTTGTTTGGCAGTCCATGAGTCCGTGAAGTTTCTCCTTCCTTCAATTCTCTGGATTTGGCTTTCTCAAAACAAGATGACTTACCTCTTGACGATATCACTGACTTACCTCTTGACGATATCACCGATCTACTAACCCTAAGATTAGCAGCTCAGACAGATTCGCATGCAGCAACATCCTGAAAAGACCTGACCCCAAAGGAACTGGATCCATGCCACAGGTATGCAGCGTTGGATCAACCTGGTCGTGTTCATTGCGTCCACTGTCCAGCCAACACCTGGGCTCCTGCCGGTAGCGCCAGTCCAGAGAGTTGCAAGCCACGGCGACGGTGCACACCACAAGACGTGGAGCTGGTCTACCGTGCGCCACAAGGGACACCCGGAGAGTGGGCGGAGAGTGGGCTCGTGGTGGGGAGCATCCAATGCAAACCAGGAGTTTCTTAAGTCCGTTGGGGACTCATAGGACCCAAGATGGACAGTTTCATGATGTTGACTGTACGAAACAATGCACGTACGTTCATCATACCAGTATACGTGAATCTAAACTCACTCTTTTTTTTTTCAGCATGTCTTTTTGATGAACATGTCATGGCGGTGGTGAAGAGGTTTGCTGTTTCTTGGAAGATCAAAACCCCCGAGTTGAACCGAGCACGGCTTTTCGCCACTGGGGACTGGCGACTGGGCGAATGATACATGAATGAGTTGGGCAAAGGGGTAGACTCCGGCGACGGGTCTTCCCAAAGTGATGCCACTGTGTTGTGTTTGTATATTTTTACCAGTCGCGTTTGACATGTTTTTTTGGAGTTTGTAAGTTTGTTTGCTCCCTGGACAGTCCATTGAAACACTCATAGCCTTGGTCAGTTCGACTGATCATGAAGGATCAATATTGTACCGATACCAGCACCCTGTGAGATGGCTTGAAGAGGTCCCCAGAAAATGGAGTGTCCGAATAAAAGTCCTGGCATGAGGCATTGAATCATTGACCAAGTTCAAAGTTCACGCAAAGGCACTTCACCACAATGGACCAAAGCGCCCAAACAAACACCGGATTTCAGGTGGTGCAAAGTGCAAAAGTGAGCATTTGGTTGACAAGTACAGTAGGAATCTCAAGAACCTCAAGCGGCTTTAGGAAACATCGTCAGGGGAGCTTCAATTTTTTCATTTGTGCCATTGGGATCTATTGGGGGTTCCGCCTTGCTTCCAACAATGTGTCGGGCAGTTTGCCACCAAACGTGTGGTCCTTGGCTTGGCTTCCTGATGAGGTGTCAGAGATAGAGTATAGAAGGAACAGCTTCCAGCACCACAACGACCATTCAGAGTCCCACGAGCGAAACTATACCTCCCTTTGGTATACTCTTTGACCCTTAGTTAGTACTAAACCCGTAAGGGTTGCTTACCAGAAGATCTAATGACAGGCTAGCAAAGGACACTATATGAGAAATCTAGGATGTCAACCATATACTTGAAACGACAAGTCAAGAGCCCTACCCCCGTTTTGACACATTGTGTGAAGATTCTGCCAACTTCTACTTACGCTTCTTAGCAGTTGAGACCCTTCTTTTGCCTTGGACATCGGTCGATCTGTCGGAACGGCGGACATCGGTCGACCGGCGCTCAGGAAGACCGGTGCCTGGTGCCAGGGCAACCGGACCTCCCTGCGTGGCTTTTGGCGCTCGCCCAAGGTTTGTGCGGGAGATTCGTCGCCCCTCCAGGTGGCACTGCAGACGGAAGTGACCCAAGCAAAGGCTTCTTGGACCCGACTTGGAGACTGAGAACAGACTGAGAAGGCCCAAGATTGCACTGCTTTCTTTGGGGGAGAACCGACTTTGGGGAGTGAAACCGAATAGATGGCCTAGACAAGCACCCGACTCTACAGGTCTCCGACATGGAGACTTAAAAGTGGCAGGTGGTGACCTGTGAAGTCGGGTGCTAGTAAGAATACTTAATACATTTTCGGCAGGTGGAGAGGTGGATGTGTTCCAAGGGAGGAGTCAGCAAAGACGTTTTCAGATCTTGAGGTAGATGGAATGATGCATACATTGGCCTTTGAAGACCGTTTTGAAGATGGTTGACTCAGACCTGCTTTTAATGGTGCAACATCCTGACTAAAACAACAGTTGTTTGGCAAAGTCTAAAATAGTGGTTGTTGAACTCCCAGGGTCAAACATTGTTTACCAACTTTGATTGCGCAGGCCTCGCCCAGGTTGAGGACCCAACTCGACAGCGTATAGATCGAAGTGTGTGATTTCAAGAAGGCCTGCAGTGCCCTTTGTTGTTTTGTTTTTGGTCTCCAGAAACAAGAAGCTACTAGGGGCTCCTGGCCGTACTACTAGGAGCAAGGACGCTACTA